TGCAGTTTGTGAATTTAGGGCCAGCAAAGGATGGTTTAATAGATTTAAGAAGCATAGTGGCATACACAGTGTTGTAAGGCATGGTGAGGCTGCAATTTCTAACAAATGTGCGGCTGAAAAGCATGTTCATGAATTCCAGAACTATGTAAAGGCTGAAGGATTCGAACCCCAACAAGTGTTCAATTGTGACGAAACAGGCCCGTTTTGGAAGAAAATGCCAAACAGGATCTACATTAACCAGGAGGAAAAGGCACTGCCAGGACACAAGCCTATGAAGGACAGGCTTACTCTTTTGTTGTGTGGTAATACTAGTGGGGATTTCAAAGTGAAGCCTTTACTCGTGTATCACTCAGAAAATCCAAGAGTGTTCAAGAAAAACAATGTCATGAAGAATAGATTGTTTGTGATGTGGAAAGCTAATCATAAGGCATGGGTCACAAGGCAAATTTTCGAAGAGTGGGTAAATGATGTGTTTGGCTCAAGTGTGAAAAAATACCTCCTGGAAAAGAAATTGCTACTCAAGTGCCTCCTGTTACTGGACAATGCTCCTGCACATCCTCAAGACTTGAAAGACCAAATGTTTAGGGACTTCAATTTTATAAAAGTGAAGTTCTTGCCTCCTAACACCACTTCTCTCCTCCAGCTCATGGACCAGCAAGTCATTTCTAACTTCAAAAAACTCTACACAAAAGCAGTGTTTCAAAAGTGCTTTGAAGTGACCTCAGACACTCAGTTGACCCTAAGACAGTTCTGGAGGAATCACTTCACTATCCTCCACTACATAAGCCTTATAGGTAAGGCTTGGGAGGGAGTGACTTCCAGGACTTTGAACTCTGCTTGGAGAAAACTGTGGCCAGATTGTGTCCAAGAGAGGGATTTTGAAGGGTTTGAGGCTGACTCTGACCCTGCCGACCCTGTGGACTATTGTGGCACTGGGGAAGTCCATGGAGTTGGAGGTGAGCGGCGAGGATGTGAAAGAGTTGGTGGAGGACCACAGGGAAGAGCTAACCAGTGAAGAGCGGCAAGAGCTTCAACTCGAACAGTAACAGACTGCAGCTGAGGAACTTGCTTCAGAGGAGGAAGAGGGAGTGAAGGAGGTGCCTTCTTCAGAGATTAAAGAGGTGTATGTAATGTGGACTAGGGTGCAAGCTTTTGTAGAGAAACACCACCCTGACAAAGCTGAAACAAGCCATATCTGCAACATGTTTAGTGACAAAACCCTATCCCACATCAGGGAAATCTTAACCCTTTCAGGGTCAAGAGGCCCTCTCTTAACCTTTAAATGGTCCAAACATATATACACGTTTTTTCAACATTTGAAAGTGTAAAAAATTGTAGATCTTTTTTTTTGTTTTTCATTTGAAAATGTGTAAAAAATCTTTTATCTACATTTGTTTTTTTGTCATGTTCGAAAATATGTAAAAAAAAAAAAAACGTAGATCTACGTTTGGAGCACTACGGATTTGAACGTCGATCTGTTTGGACCGTTTAAGGGTTAACCCTTTCAGGGTCCGTCCCGTAGATCTACGGCTTTACGTTCAGGGTCCAAACCGTAGATCTACGTCATGAGCTCAGCTCACTCTGATAAACTGTGAGTGGTACATTTGGGCCTAGATATGAGAGAATACATCTATGTGGTATGTGTGCACCACATAAAACAGATCCTGCAGCACACTGTGTATAATGAGAGAAAAAACTGAAATCATGATTTTTCGATTAAAACAGCGACTTTGCAGTGTTTTTTTGTATGTTTTTTATAGTTGTATTTGCGATTTCTTGGTCTCATTTGATAGAATGGAAGACATATTACAGAAAGAGATGATTTTGATTGGTTTTAGCACTGGAAATGGCTTGAAACTGAGCTCGAAGTAGCTCAAAATGTTAAATTTTTGCTGATATTCAAGAGTAAACAAACGACCTCGCACATCTAATACACGCCAGCTGGTGGGTCTAATATGCATTCACAAATATGGTGATGATATTTATACAATTATTACAGTATTGCATAGCAGTAAATCTTCTATTTTTTGGTGTGAATAAAAATTCATTATGTGAATAAAAAATCAAAATGGAATTTATTTGTAACGCCTCAAAAAGTAACTAATGAACAGAGGAAATGTTAGTTTAGTTCCAGGAATACCTACATTGTTTATTCTGGACCCCATTTTGAAATTGGAATATTTTGAACTTTGTGTTAAATTGGCCAAATTAACAATTTCCGATCACTTTATTTCGTAGTTGAAAGAGTTGACTTGGCAATTTCTAGTGCTCAATCGATAGAATAGAAGTAATACTAGTGAAATAGCTAAGAATTTGGTTGACTGGAATATTGTAATTGGCCTAAACTGGGAGTCAAAGTCGGCAAAATCGCCGATTCGTAAATATCGCTGACATATCAAAATTCGCGAGAGCATAATTTCGTCAATTTTCCATCAAATTTCTTACTTTTTGTTTTATTACCTTCACAAAAAGATTCTCTACCATTTCATAAGAAAAAATAACAAATTTTTTTTTTGAAAATTCTTGGACACTGGGGCACCACTTCAGATTTGGGCCTTGGACCCTGAAGGGGTTAAATTTGTTCTCAGGGTCAAAAATTTTTTGGAAAAAAAAAAAATTATTTTTTCTTATGAAATGATAGAGAATCTTTTCCCTATCATAACGACACCAAAAGTATGAAATTTGATGGAAAACTTCCGGAACAATGCTCTCACGAAGTTAGCGGTCTCGCTGATGCGTAAACATCGGCGATTCCGCCCACTTTGAGCCCTATTTTTGGCCAATTCTTGTGTACTAGTCGACAAAAATCACATTTCGCTAGAACTCCATTTTTTCTATCGAATGAGTACAAGAAACCACCCATTTACCAATTTCAACTATCCAATTAAGTGGTTAGAAATTGGCAATTTTGCCAATTTCACACAAATTTCAGAAAATGCCAATTTCCAAATAGGGTTCAGAATAAACAAGAAAGACATTCCTGGCACTAAAATAAGTTCTCTGATCGTTAGTCACATCCCCAGGCCCCTCTTATATTTCTTTTGCTTTCCACTTTGAATTTTTATTCTTACAAAAAAATAGAAGATTTACTGTTATGCAGACTACTGCATTAGTGTAGAAATGGTATAAATAATATCAGCGCACTTGTGAAAGAATATCAGACTCGCCAGTTGACGTGTATTGAACGCTTGGCATGATTTGTTTACTTTCGAACTTTGGTAAAAATCGAACATTTCTGCAAATTTGAGCTCAATTTGAAGGTACTTTTCACTGTGAAACCAGTCAAAAATCATCTCAATTTCTGTAATATGTCTTCCATTCTATAAAATGAGACCAGGAAAACTAGAATAGAACCATAAATACCATACGAAAATACAGTGCAAAGTCGCTGTTTTAATCCAAAAAACAGTTTTTTTTTTCTCATTATGCACTGTGTGCTGCAGGATTTTTTTTATACCACACACACTGACCACAGAGCCATTCTTTCATATGTAGGTCTACCAGCTTTCTCTCGCTAGATATGAAGGCACTAGAATTTAGGCATACTAGCACGTCAATAACCCTGGTGCCTAAGCCGTACTAGTACGTCGAAAACCCTGAAAGGGTTAAAGAGACACCAGAAACAGAGCACTCTGGATAGTTATTTTGTGAGACAGGGGTTCAGTGACTCAAGCTGGCCCTAGTGGCATAAAACAACAGAGAAGGGAAGTAACCCCAGAGAAGGCTTTGTTACCTAAAGTCTTTATGGAGGGAGATTTCCCTTCCAAACACTAACTCCTCCCTCTTTCCTCCTCCCTATCTTCCAGAAGCCAGCATTAGTCTTCAATAAAGGTAAAAAAAATTATTTTTTTTGTGAATATTTTTGTTAGGAACGGATTAATTGTATTTCCATTAATTCTTATGGGAAATATTAATTCGGTTTTCAGACATTTCGGTTATCGGCCAACCTTCTGGAACGGATTACGGCCAATAACCGGGTGTCCACTGTAACTGAAAACTGCTGTATTAGTGAAATGCTGAAATACAGATCCTGACTGTAAATATAAAAAAAAGGCAATTAAAATTAAACACAGAAAAAAGAATAAGGTAATAAGAGTAACAAAGTAAGGGCAATGAAAGATGGAATGTGCAAGTGGGAGGGAGTATGGAGGGAGTGAACGTATATGGGTCACCCTCCATCAGTGAGAGAAGGATGGTGTTAAAAAAGATGGAAATCACTGATGTTTTCCTCATTGGCATTTTTTATATTCCTATGTAACTCAGGATAAATTTTTGAGAAACTCCAGATATGTAGAGTTCAAGCAGAGTCCTTTTCTCCAAGTCCTAACACATTCTCAACTTTGTGGAACAGGACATGGAAAAGAAATACACTCACAAACCAATCAAATGCTACAACTATTAGAAATTAAAAAAAAAAAAAAAACTGAAGACAGGACACCTGTAGCTACAAATCTTATAGGTAATTACTGTATTATAAACCAGGATAGAGCACACTTATGTGCTGGAGGCAAGTAGAACAGCAAGATATTGCCACACACAACCCTATACATATTTTACATTAAATGCTGCATACACAAACTATTATATGCAAGATTTTATCTTTTACTTTATACATTTTTAGCGCCTGACAAAAACATTTTACAGCACATCATGTATTATAAAAAAGTCTCCCAGAAAGCTAGTTAAGCATCATCATTTCATATTTCTAAATTCAATAGTTATTAGTCATGATATATGGTCAAGACAATACATATAGGCAAATTACAGTAAATATATTTTTACAGACAAAACACACACACACACACACACACACACACACACACACACACACACACACACACACACACACACACACACACACACACACACACACAAAAAAAAAAAAAAAAAAAAAGTGTATAATTAGAGTACAGTATTTAACCTTCAGAAAATAATTTAACTCAAACCAACAGTGATTCTTAACATAGGCCCTAATGATTAATAAGACAGCCTATACTAACCTGTTGCTTGGAGTACTGTCAGTATTGCGTGACTTGGCCCCGGATCGCTGAACGCTTCCCATTCCCAAATTTGACCTCCTCATGATCCCGACCTAAATTATAAATAATACATAAATATAACATGGCCTAATATTTTCATCATCATAAAATAAAATTATTTTCAAAGTATAATAGGTTATATTTGTTACACAAGCACAGAACTTTGAACAGCACTTTCTTTCGTCAACCTGCTGGTTTCCACTTTGTAGGTAAAATGACAGAACAATACCCACAAAGTATCATTTTCTCAAACGGTAACATGTTCTTAACCCTACAATCAGGATCAAGACAAAATATATGTACTATATCTGTATTCGGAAATACGGAAAAATTGGTAGTGTTACGTGGAGAAATTAACGGGGGTACAAGCATAATTATTATTTATTGGTCCAATTTCAATGGAATTTTTACTGTGAATTAAGCAGCAGCTGAAACCTAGACACATTTTTAGTAACCTTTTTTCTTACATGTTAGACAGAAAAAAATAGTGCCCTATTTTATAGGGCTTAACCTTTTCAGGGTTGGTGCCATACTAGTAAGGCTTGCACGCCAGGGTTGGTGCCATATTAGTACAGTGGTCCCTCGTTTTTCGTAATTAATCCGTTCCTGGAGGAGCTACTATAAACGAAATTTACGATTTGCGAATCAATTTTCCCCATAAGAAATAATGTAAATACAATTAATCCATTCCTGACACCCAGAAGTATTAAAACAAAAAAATTTTTTACATGAAATATACATGTAGTACATAAACAATACAATGGGAAATGATGAATAAAATATTAACAGCATAATACTTACCTTTATTGGAGATTCTTCTTAGTGTATGGGAGACAGGAGGAGGAGAGACATTGGATTGTTTACAGTTTGGAAGGGGAATCCCCTTCCAGCAACACCTCAGGTACCAATTGCTTCTCTGGGGTTGCTTCTCTTCTCTGTTTCTTAATGCCACTAGGACCACCTTGGGAGTCACTCTAGTCCTGTCTCGCAAAGTAACTGTGGAGAGAGCTCTGTTTCTGGCGTCTCTTTAACACTTCCCTAAAATGACCCAAGACTTTGTCACTGTACATATTTCTCACCTTCTTTACCACAGGCTTGGCACTAGGAGCTTTTTTTGGAGCCATGGTAGCTTATTTAGTACAGTGGACCCCCGCATACCGTACGCATCACATACCGTTTAATCCGCATACCGCTCGCTTTTATCGCAAAAATTTTGCCTCGCATACCGCCCAAAAACCCGCTCACCGCTCTTCGTCCGAGACGCGTCCAATGTGCGCCCTTAGCTAGCCTCACATGTGCCACTGGTGGCATTGTTTACCAGCCAGCCTCCGTGGTAACATCCAAGCATACAATCGGAACATTTCGTATTATTACAGTGTTTTTGGTGATTTTTTCTGGAAAATAAGTGACCATGGGCCCCAAGAAAGCTTCTAGTGCCAACCCTACAGCAATAAGGGTGAGAATTACAATAGAGATGAAGAAAAAGATCATTGATAAGTATGAAAGTGGAGTGCGTGTCTCCGAGCTGGCCTGGTTGTATAATAAACCCCAATCAACCATCGCTACTATTGGTGGTACAGCTGCTGCTGCTGCTGTTGTACCACCGTCAGCTGCTGCTGCTGCTGTAGCATCGTCTGCTGCTGCTGTAGCATCGTCTGCTGCTGCTGTAGCATCGTCTGCTGCTGCTGTAGCATCGTCTGCTGCTGCTGTAGCACTGTCAGCTGCTGCTGCTGTTGTACCACCGTCAGCTGCTGCTGCTGCTGCTGTAGTACCGTCTGCTGCTGCTGTAGTACCGTCTGCTGCTGCTGTAGCACCGTCTGCTGCTGCTGTAGCATCGTCTGCTGCTGCTGTATCACTGTCAGCTGCTGTTGCTGCTGCTGCTGTAGCACCGTTGTTGGTGTGGCTTATTGAGAATACCAAGAAACAATTAACCCCAGAGGATTTGCCACCCAGGATAACCCAAAAAAGTCAGTGTCATCGAAGACTAACTTATTTCCATTGGGGTCCTTAATCTTGTCTCCCAGGATGCAACCCACACCAGTCGACTAACACCCAGGTGAACAGGGAAAAATGCCTGGAACTAGTGCTCATATTGGTGAATTTAAAGCCAACAAAGGTTGGTTTGAGAGATTTAAGAATCGTAGTGGCATACACAGTGTGATAAGGCCTGTTCTGGAAGAAAATGCCAAACAGGACCTACAGTACTCAGGAGGAAAAGGCACTCCCAGGACACAGTGTCTCATCAGTCATTGCTGCATCTTCAATAAAGGTAAGTGTCATTTATTCTTCATTTAGTAGAGTAGTACATGCACAATATATATTGTGCATGTATCCTTCTCTTTGTGTGTAGGAAAATGTATATTTCATGTGGTAAAAAAATTTTTTTCATACTTTTGGGCGTCTTGCACGGATTAATTTGATTTCCATTACTTCTTATGGGGAAAATTCATTCGCATACCGATCATTTCGCATAACAATCAGCCCTCTTGCACGGATTAAAGTCGCTATGCGGGGGTCCACTGTACTTGCAAGCACTAAAATGAGTGGAATATTATGAAATATTTCGTAGGAGCACTTGAGGGGACCTTCACTCACTGGTAAACAATGCCAGACTGGCTGGGTAAGGAGGCCTCCCCGGCTCACACCGTGCGTACGCGTCCCGGACGAACTACCATTCGAGAGTCAACCTATGAAAAGCGAGTCCATGTTTATACGAAAATACCCCTATGATTGACGAAATTTACGATTGCCGAGAACTACGAAAAGCGAGGGACCACTGTACGCATAAATTCTAGCGCCTTCAAATCTAGCGAGAGAAAGCTGGTAGGATTACATATGAAACAATAGGTCTATGTGGTCAGTGTGCACAGTAAAAAAAATCCTGCAGCACACGGTGCATAATGAGAAAAAAAAAAACTCCAACAGTGTTTTTGCTTTAAAGCAGAGACTTTGCAGTGCATTTTCTTATGCTATTTATGGTTGTATTCTAGTTTTCCTGGTCTCATTTTATAGAATGGAAGACATATTACAGAAATTGAGATGATTTTGATTGGTTTCACAATGAAAAGTACCTTGAAATTGAGCTCAAAGTAGCAGAAATGTTCAATTTTTGCCAATGTTCAAAAGTAAACAAATCATACCACGCGTCCAATACACATCAACTGGTGAGCCTAATGTTCTTTCACAAGTGCGCTGATATGATTTACAACTAGCGAAGTGAAATTCTCATCTTTACTGACGTTCATCTGTTGACAGTAGCATCATCTGTACCACCATCATATCACATGTACCAGTGCTAACGAGAGGGAAACACAGGAGACATCGTCAAAGCAACAATAGAAAACTCCAAGGTTATGGGACGGTTATCCCTCAGTGCCAGTCGTGGGAAAGAAGTCAATAGGTAAACAGTCAAGGTTAACGTTTTAGTAGCTGACCAGTGTACAGTGAGAGAATTATAGCAGAAAATGCCAAATGTATCTATAAACTCGAGGAAAGTCAGGTTGTAGGTGGTGTTTACTTCCCTCAGTGTTTTAAAAATGGCCGAGTCAGCAGACCAGGTCAGGCAGTCAACAACACGACAACCCCCAATAAATGGAACTGAGGGGGATTTGGAAGGATACAACCATTGATTAAACCTTTCTGGTCTACCAGAATGGAAAGGAGTTATAAGTTAATAGGTGAAGCTGGACTGTGAAGCAAGGCAAGAAGAGGAGTGTGTAATAAGGGGTTAACTGAAAGGGGTTTGTGAAGTTAAAGGAAAAGTGAGCAGTGAAGAGGGTTTTGAAGAAAATTTACTAGTAATTCAGTGGTGATTGATAAAGCAGATACTAAGTGTACTAGGTGACTGGAAAAGAGAAATAAATATTATTGTACATGTATATGAGTAAAAGAGCGAAGAGTGAAAAATGGCAGGCATTTGAGGGGTACAGGCTGCCATAATTATATTTATTTCTTCTTCAATTCCATGAAGAAAGAAATCAGTCATGGGGCTGGAAAAGGTGAATGGAGTAACAGCGCCCTGGACAGTGTTGAGTGTTGACGTGTACTTGGCTCTGTGAAGACCTGTTTGCGCGCTCTCTAGAATTGAAGCAAGATGCCCTCCATCGAGCACCTTTACCAACAGCTTAAGGAAGAATTGAGGATGGCGAATATGGAAATTCGGCGACTGACCGAGGAAAACAAGAAGATTCGTAGTAGTCCTGTTTTGAGTCCTCAGGTCAAGAAGGGAAACTGGTCAGTGGCTGGACAGCAGGGAAAGAAGTTGACGATCAAGAAGACGAATGGAAAGGTAGAAACGATGAAGAAGAGACTGCCGTGGAAACTGTTGTGGAAACATCTAATACATTCTCAGTGCTACCCGACGAATGCGAGTCAACTACTGGGAACGTCACGACGAACGACACCAAGGAAGGTACGAATATTGTTGTTGTTGGGGATAGCCAAGTAAGGAATATGGATAGGGCGTTCTGCTTGAAGGACAGGAGTAGGAGACAGAGTTTGCTTTCCTGGGGCTGTGATGGAGGATATTGTTAGCCATCTGGATGACATCATGAGAGGTAATGGGAGTAATCCTATTATCTGTCTCAGTGCTGGAGGCAACTATGTTGGCAGACGTAGGAGTGAAGACCTGATAAGCAGGTATAGGTCAGCAATAGAAATAATTAGAAGTAAGGGTGGGAACCCTCTCATATGTGGTATTTTGCCAAGGAGGGGAGTTGGAAATGAATGGTTGTCCAGGGCAATTGGTGTCAATTGCTGGCTGGACAAATACTGTAAGGAAAATGCGGTAACATTCATTGACAACTGGGACCTCTTCTATGGCAGAAATGACATGTATGCCAGGGATGGGGTTCACTTATCTAGGTGTGGGGTGGGAGCACTGGCAACTGCAGTGGAGGGAGCAGTTAGGACTTTAAACTAGGAGTAGTTAGTGGTATGGGTTTTGACAGGAAAACAGTGAAGTCCCAGTGTAGTAATATTACGAGTTCTAGGGGAACTAGTAATAATAAGAACGAGGTAGATATTGAAAAGCCAGGGACCTTGGGTGATAAGG